CTCAGGTCATGATCTTAGAGTCCTGGGATCGAGCCCCACATCGGGCTCTCTGCTCAGCAGGGAGCCTGCTTCCTCCTCTCTCTCTGCCTGCCTCTCTGCCTGCTTGTGATCTCTCTGTCAAATAAATAAATAAAAATCTTAAAAAAAAATAAGCATATCATTTCTTACTTCCTTCCAGACCCTAAGGTAACAGCTTTTTTTCCCCCCCTTTTTAAGTTTACTTCATCTGAGGATAATGTCCTTCCTCAGTGGTCACAGAGGGTGGAGAACCCTTCAGAAAGCAAGGTGGTCTCTAAGCCCTGACATCTGCCTTTTATATTTTTATTTTTATTTTTGTGGATAGGGTATCCATTTGAGATTGATTTTTAGATCAGTAGGTAACACTGCTTGGTTTTAATCTTCCCTGCTTCTACTGTGAACTCAACTCATAATCAAGAAGCTAATTAAAAGGAATCACACTGTAATAAAAAAACAGCGATAATAATCGCTGATGCATAGCTCATCTGTCAGAAATTAAATAGTGGCCGTTTGGCATAGCTGATCTAATACATGAGCAAGATTCAGAAGAAAACCTCAGAAGAAAACGGTGAAGAACCTGCCAGAATAGGGTAGAAAGGTACGTGAGATATGCTGCTGTGCTCCCAGATGGCTGCTTCTCCTCTTAGCTATCCTTCTCTGTGAATTTACAGCCTCTCCTCTCTTCACAGGCTCCCCAAAGGTGAGCATGTCAGGTCTGTCTTGGGCCCTCTGCAATTTTCCTAGTTCGCTCTGCTCTTAGAATTCCATCTTCTTTGCATGCCCTCAATGAAGACTTCTGTATAATAGTCATAAATCTTGCTTCCACTTCTGATTTGTCTCCTACATATTTAACACTGCATTTCCAAAACTTTTTGGACATCTATTGTCGTATCAAATTCAACATATTCAGAACCAGACTCATGATCATCAGCTGGTTTCCATTCCTTCCTTTTCCCCTTTCTCCCTCCCTCCCTCCACCCTCCATTTATTGGCAGGGTGGTAGGCCTGAGGTACAGATAAGGACAAGGCACTCCTTAACTTAAGGAGCTCAGAGTTTGTTACCAAAATGGAGAATCAAAATTTTTGAATCAAAAAGGATCTAAGTGTCCTACCCCAACATCCTTATTTTGTGTACAAGGCAACCAAAGCCAAGAGAGATCAAATGGCTTGTTTAAGGTCACATATGCTATTAGCAAAGCCAGGAATTAAACCCAAGACTCCTGATTTGCTAATTTCCATCAAAGACATCATAATTCTCCCAGCCACTCTAGTTCTGATCTGAGGAGATATGTAATTCCTCATCACGTCTTGCCCTCAACAACCAATCACGAAGCACTTTAATATCTTTCTTTTGAGTATCTCCCACATCTGACATTTCCTTTGGTTTCCAACCATCAGTAGGCTGACCATCCAGGTCAGCATGACCTTCACACATCATCCTGAACTTGCCTGCAGAGACGTTCAGTTTCCCTGGTACTTCCTGCCCTAGCACATTTTGCCTGACCCATACCGTCTCCCGGCCCCAATCCATCCTCCTCCAATTTGATCGACTTGTGGCTACCCAGGTAATATTTCTAAAACATCTGTACACGTCACTCACCTACTGCAAGCCCCACAGTGAGCCTCCAATACGTTGGGCATGCTGTGTGGGAGAAGGGGGTCTACGGTCATGGGGAAAAATACTGCTTGTACTCTACCCTCTGGAGAATCATTTTTTTCTTGAACTATGTTTCTCAAACTTCTTTGACCACAGAACTTCTTTTCTTCAAGGAATGCACATTACCCCCCTCAGACCCCGTATTTGCAGACGCACACTGTGGGAAGCAGGAGGCTACAGTCTACCATTCAACAGCTGGGCCAGGCAGCCCAGACCTTCTTCTACTCACCTTCCCATCCTTCCATGACTGCCTGCCCTAGCAAAACTGGTCCATTCATTGTTATTTAATATTTTAGTTTCACAATTTCCCCAGCTAGAAATATTCTCCTTCCTTTCCACTTACCCTTCCTCCAAAATTCAGTTCAGGTCTCATCTCTTCTGTAAGTCCTTTCCCAACTCTCTCACCCAAAACTACTGTAGCATTTATTTACTTGTATCAGAAGACCAAAACCTCAACAGCAGAAAATGCATATAGCTCACATTTGCATCAGGAAGCTCATAAAATGGCAAAAATTTCCCTATCAAATAGCTTCAGATTAATTCACATTAAGGTAAGATTATATTACATTCACAAGAAATGCATTTCTACAAAACCATTAGGATCTCGAAGGAGGAGAAAAAAGGGAGATTTAACATTAATAAATAATTCACTGTTACTGACACTGAGTTCAGCTGTTTTGACCAGGATAACTTTAAGAATACACTAGGAAAGTTCCATGCCTTCATTTTATTTTGTAAAGATTGTCAAGAACTGGCTAATGAATATTATGAGAAGAAAAGAGAATCATATACAGAAAAAATAAAATCATTATAGATGCCATAAATACCACTTACATTTTAAGTGAATACTATCCCCTTCCTGTTTCCAGTGATTTTTTTTCACACAATATAAACAAAATTAGTCTCATTTATTTGAAAGATACCACTTCTGTATATCCCCATTTTTTTAAAAATTTTTTTCTTCCTAATGGTGAAAAGATGCCTTGTGATAATAACGCCCAATTCAGTTCCTATCTAGAGTTCAAAAGCAATCATATTAAATACCACATTTTAACACACATGTATCTCCCCAGTCTCCATAAGAAGCTTTAAGTTATGGAAGAGCTCATGAAGAGAAGTAAATCTGAGGTAACCCTTGTCTTTCTACTTTCTGAATTGAAAATGTACAAAACTCACTTGGGATACTCTCACCCACTCCTGACCACCAATGTTTGCTATCCCAGAGCCATTCATTCCCAGAAGGCTAGGACAAACAGAACAGTAGTCATCAGCCCAGATCTCCCATACCAGCTGGGAAGAATCTTGGACTTCTATGCTCTGGACCTTACCAGCGTTTCTAAGATTACCATGACTGACTGCTCCTCCCTGCCTCTGTCCAGCTCAGCTTTGGCTTGCTTGGACTTATAATGCCTTCCTAACATATTTTGGCTTGACCTATTATCACAGGCACCTGACCTGTTCTCCTAAGACTACATGTTCATTTTGTTTTAACCTCTTGCTGGTCTAGCCCATCGTATCTGAAGACCCCTTTGCTTAATTGAGCCCTGGACAGTCTTCTGAGGTGAGAGAAAATTTAGCCTCAAGTCCTATCTCCAACCTTACTACCCACATCAACCCCTTACTTTAAGCAAACTAATCCATTCCTGGAACCTTGAATTATCCATGTCATACACATCCCCCATTTTGTTTTTCAAAAGTCTTGTCCTGAAAGACCTAACTCAAGGCTCTTCTCTCAAGAAACCTTCTCTAATTTGGCCTATGATAATTACCTCTGAACTAGTATACTGACTGTCTTTACCAAACACTCACACAGCAGGTCCTGCAAAACAATAGTCCCAAGGCATGTCTCCAAGGAGAAGGCTCTCTCTTGGAAATTATAATGCACATTATTATATTAAAAACTTAGACATCTTTCAAAACCTTTCAAAAAATATTGAAACCCCTGTTTGTGAAACTTACTCAGCTATGGAATCCCCTTTCTATCTTCTATCCTTTAAAAACAGTTTGGAAGCACAGACATAAGGAAAACAGGACCCCACAAGTCAGTGGCATTTCCGACCAGTAAGCTTGCATTCTAATGTGTCCATGTGCCCATGTCTTCTCTCCAGATGATTTGGAAGTAACAATCCAGCAGCTCCGATTAGCTTTGGGCTTTCTCAACTACTACTACTACTACTACTACTACTACTACTACTACTACTACTTCTTGAGAGAGAGAGAGCGAGAGCGAGCGAGCATGCAGCAAATGAGCAGAGGGGGATGGGCAGATGGAAAGGGAGAGAGAGAATCTTAAGAAGCATCTATGCCCAGTGTGGAGCCCAATGTAGAGCCAGACGTGGGACTCGATCGCATGATCCTGAGATCATAACCTGAGCCAAAATCAAGAGCCAGAACCTTAACCGACTAAGCCACCCAAGCACCCCAAGGCTTTCTCAACTTCTATTGCTATCTTTACCCTCATATCACTCTACACTTGTTGGGTGTAAGGTCATGCACAGTGCCTACCACATAGTAAATATAGAAGGCATTAGCTACTTTCATTTTGAAGCAGTAGGGAATGTGGTCCAGAGTTGGGTCTGTAGAATCAGACCAACCCTGTTCTAGGTCTGGCCCAGCCCTCACCAGTGAGGTTGAGGACTAAGTCTGTTTTGTTCACTCATGCCTTGTACACACATAGTCCCTAATATAGAACATACAGTCAGTATTTATTGAGTGAATTAAGGACAAAGTACTTCTCAACCCAAGTGATTTTGCCTGCCAAGGGAACATGTGACAATGGCCGGAGACAGTTTGGGCTGTCACAATTAGCATCTGGTGGGTAAAGATCAGGAATGCTATTAAACATCTTCCTGTGTACAGGACAAAAAATTATCTAGCTCCAGAGGTCAACAGTGCAGAGGTTGAGGAAATCTGCCCTAGAGTCAGGCTGGTCAGGGCTACACTGCTAAATGCAGACACTACTTGGCTTAGAGCAAGTTATCGAATTTTTCTAAGTCTTAATTTCCTCATCTGTAGAATGCAGAACTGATTATATCTCATAAAAGTTGTTGTAAGATAACACATACATAAACAAGATAAATCGAGTAACACATATGAGATGTTTAACACAGCAATTGGTAGGTAGAAAGTATGACCTATGAATGTGATCTGTGAGCATTCTTACCATTAGCCTTCATTCAGTGTCTCATAACGATGTGAGGCTTTCAACTGAAATCTTTATGCTCCCAGAACTCAGTATCAATCCCAGAGTGAGTACTTTTATCAACATAAGCCCTGTGCCCCCACTTATGTTTATTGTATGGTCAGATTTTATTTATGTGCTCACCAGGGGCTCAATAGTGAAAATGTTACTCAAGAAGAGCATGCTGTCTGCCTGAACCAGCCTCCTCTGATTCTCAAAGGTGCGGGAGAGAATGGAAAGACGTTCTCGGAGTGAAGGATCAATAATGCACTCTTCAAGAAACTCATCGGTCTCGTTCTTTTCCTCTTTGCTCAGGTCATCACAGACCCTAAAGAAAATACAGGAAATGTGAGACTTGTTTTGGTACTCCCATGAAGAACACTATAAAGCATTCCCCTCCAGTCCGTCCTCCTGGAAGTGGTCTCACCCTGAGGTGGTCCTTTTTTGCTGTAAGTCTGTAACATATGAGCTGAGTGACCTTGGACTTCATCCTCTCAAGAGCATCTGTTTGTTCACCTTTAGTCACTTCCTTCAACAAGTCCTCCTTGGCTTCCTGTTCTACTCAATGCCCATTTGCTTATTACTGAACCCTCATGTAAATTTAGACAAATATTTTCTTTTAGATAATTGTGTTTTCCAGGCTGCTTTTTAAATAATATCTACCCTGCCTCTCACACTTGAAAAACATTTTTTTTCTTTTTAGACTTACTTAGCTCTAATACTTTCTTAGCTGTTAGTTACCTAGAGAACAGAATCTGAAACCAGCAAGGACTAGGCTTGGATGTTGATTCTGCTACCATTTACTAGCTCTATGACTTTGGAGGTTCCAGAATTCCTCCCAGCCTCAGTGCCTTCATCTATCCAACAGAGATAATATAGATGTGTTGAGGATAAAATGTGATGAAGGACCTGACAGCTCCTGGGACAGAGCAGGTACTCCATAAATACTGTTTTCTCCCTAGGTCAGTCATAAGCAACTATCCAGCTCTCGAGCTTATAAAATGCTCACACCACACCTCAAGGCACCTCCTTTTTTCTCTCTTTCTAGCTCTTGATATCCATCATGATAAGTCAGAAAAGCAGCCTTCCCCAACCCTCTCCTCATTGTCCTCACCAAAGCTGTGTTCACATTAGTCTTAGGATCTGTTACTTCATCTGCACTTTGAAGACTGGATTTTATCTCCTCCCAGGTCACAGGACCATTTCCCACCATTTTCCTGATATTGCCACTGGTGAGAGACAATTTATGCAGTTAAGTGAGTGCTCAATAAGAACCTGGGGTCACTGAATTCCTGTCCCAGCCCCAACTACTTTCTAGATGACTTCATGCAGACGATATGTTCAGCAACACCAAACAGCTCTTTTTAATGACTTAGTACTCAGTGCCCTTTGGTCACAGAAGATAAAGAAGTCAAAGAAATGGGTTCAATGTGTTCTGTGTCCCAGGAAGAAAGCACCCTGTGCTTTCTCTTCATTGTTAGCTGGAAAGCAGTGTCCAAGGTAACCAGAGCAGCAGTCCTTCTACACTGCTGGGCTGAGCAGGTCAAATAAAGAGAAGTCAGTTCACAGAAAGAAAGGAAACCACTTACTCCTGTCAGTGGAATTTATGACACCTACCTTTGGGAATATATCCTGAAGAAACCAATCATGGATATAAGCAATGACACAGTCAGAAAGATGTTCATTGAAGTGCTTGCTGTAATACTAACAGGTGTGGGTAAATTTGATGTGAGAGATTGAAAAAGTATTTAAACAAATAATGGGAATCATAAACATTCTATTTCTTGAGGGGGTTCTTGGGAGTGCGGTGTAGAAATAAAATGTCTTATATGGACCAAGGATGGTAATGCTGCATGAACTGATGAGTATGATTAACTCAAACCTCACAACAGAAAACAGAAGAGAATGAAAGAAAAATTCCCAAATGCTCTTCTCCCACACTGCTGGGGCCCATGAATCCCTGACAGCCCCATTATGCAAAAGGGGTGGTGGTGCACTGTATGTCTTCTTCTTTGCCCTCCGATTAGAGCACTGGAACCAAGGCTGCCAGTCTGAGAAGGGAACGTGAAACACCTTGAGCTGAGCTGACTCCAGCAAGGGCTCATCTAACCCTCGGGCTACTGTTGGGCCATCTTGTCCTGCTGCTGTTCCTGGTCTCCAACATTCAGAGGTGCTTCTGATTTACAGATGAGGAAACCTTTCATCAGACAGCAGAACCACACACTAGCCCTCTCTCTCAGTAAAACCATGGATTTAACCCATTTTACAAATGGTCTGGTAGCCACATTCAGGCATCAAGTCTCGTTCAGCCTATGGATTATAATGAATGGGAAAGCCTTGTGTCTCAGGTACAGTAGCACTGGACCAGTAAATGCGCCCTTATATTGAGGTGCTAGAGACCCTGCTCCTTTGCAGTGGCCCCAAGAAGTGTACTTGGATGCTGAGGAGATTAAAAATTAAGAGCTTTGTCCTTCAAGAGAGAAATATTCTCATGTCCACAGATGGCACAGGAAAGATGAAGTCATCCATCTTCAATCAGACCATGTGACCCTGGACACCAAGCAACTTTGTGGTGACTATTCTAAATCAAAGACTAGGTCTGCCTTCCTGTTTACCAAGTTACCATCCAAGTCTGCAGATTCTTGGTTCACCCTGGGGAAGAGAAGGGACTCCCAAACACAACTATGATTAAATTTACTATTAGCTGGGTGGCAGGCTCAACACTCATTAAAACTGGTCTATCTAGAGAAACACATCACTTCCTGTACCTGAAAGTTGAGGAATAAATCCATGCTGACAACTTTGTGGGGGGGGGGGGGGTTCCACTGAGGACTCTAGGAGTTCTTGTATAGAGCAAGTCTTGGGTTCTTAGGGAGTTACAAAGGGAAACTATTCTCGCAAAGTACGCATGAACGCATTTAGAGCAGATCCTCTGTTCCAAGTTGAAGACCAAACTGCCTTCAGTAAAAGGCAAACCTCTCTGTATTTGTCTTGCTTTTTGAGAGGATAGGCATTCCATCTCCAATTATATCCAGGACAAGAATTCATGACTAATAACACGAACTTCAATTAAAAAAATACATTAAAAAATAAAAAAGTTATGGCATGGTTGGGGATATAACAAGGAAACAAGAGAGGCATAAAACAGAAAAGACAACCTGGCCAAATAAGAAATTGGGCATAAATGGCCTACTTCCCCTCTAACTCTCTTTTCCCTCTTGCCCTGGCCATCTGGCCCGAGGAAAGGCAGTGGGAGAAGGTAAAGAGCAGCATATTCAGTAACATCTGCACTTAGATCAACCAATCCAGTTTGGAGAAACATTGAGTCGTGTTGCCATTTGTCACCCAAAGTGAAAATGGAAGTCATCTGAAAATGTTGAGTCATCTGAAGCCACTTTTCAAGTTCATTGTTTAATGGAACGGTAAAATCCTAGATGATCAAAGTAGGCTGCCAATCACGATTATGAAAATGTTATTGCATATTATTCCCTTGCTACAAAAAAAAAAAAATTCTATAGGAACTAAGAGAGCAGGAAAGATAGTGAAAGAAAGAACACAAGAGAAAAGGAAAAAGAAGCCTCAGGATGATATGAAAGAGATAAAGAGTAGAGGAATAAAAGAAAAGAATGTCTATCCAGGCGTTGTTGAAATTACATTCTCTGTCCCTGGAATCTCTGATAATTATTGGTTTAAGTTTTTTTGTGAGTTTCACTGTTGAAATTAACTTCCTTAAACACTTTTGGACATTGCCCTGGCATTAGGCATGGGTTAGACATATAGTCAAATGCACATAGTTGAAGATAAAGCTGGTTTCCTTCTGACGGTGTGTACCCACACTCCCCAAAAGATTATGCCCGCAGGACAAGCAGGATACTGAAACACTGTGTTTGCTGGAGTTTCTTCGTTTGTACCTGCTCTCCTATTTTCTCTTTAAGCATGCTTGGACCATTCTTATTGTTGGGACACTCATGAATGAGGGAATCAGGACAGATAAAGCAGTGGATAAGCAGTTTCCTCTTGCCTTTTTGAACTACTGGTATTTCTATGCTATGAGGCGAACTGAAGCTTTGAGGCAGGAAAGGTTTTTCTTTTCTCACTTTTTAAAGATGGCACAGTGGTAATCCAGTGATTAAAGCTTATTGTCTGAATGATAAAGCTTCTAGTCCACTGGGTCCTGCCATTGTCACAGCTCCTTCTGATTCAATTAGGGACAGAACACTGGGGGATTTCTGCTCGGTTTCCATGGACCTAAGACTTTTATTTTTATCATATACTAACTTGGTTTTAAACAAAGCTTTGAAGCTTCCCAGGGCTAATCTTTAATGAAAATGGAGAGGCAAATAAAAAAGGCTGAAATGAAGTCCAATGAAAGCAGCAAAAGTGCTAATTCAGGGAGGGTGGAAGGAGATAAAAATGAAAATGGACTTTAGAAGAGGCAGGGATAGATTCAGTAAAAAGAAATATTCAAAATTTAACAGTGATGAGATTACTTAAAAAGAGTTTGGCTTGCCACTTTATGAATTTTCTCCCCTGCCTGAAGTATTTTAAAAAGGAAAAGATTAAAGATACCAACAAGAAATCATTAAATTATATGGTTAGCAGGGATTGAGCAATGCTACTAAAGCTGAGAATATAAAAGCCATTATATCTAAGCCCTTCTTGTTCCTCATTCTTCATATTTTCTGGAAATATCTTCTCATTGAAAAAAAAAATCCACACTGATCCCAATTCAAAACAGATTATTTTTAGAAACCATGAAATCTGACCAATCTTATTAGGTTTATGAAACAAAATACAGTCCTATAGGTTAGTTTTGAGAGACTAGTGAAAAATTATATATTTGGTCTTAAAAATCTAGGAGTTTAGCCACTAATAAATTATAACCAGGTTGAGATTAACCATGGATGAACAACATTGTATTACACATAGCTCAATTCAAGTTCTTTAAATGAACAAAGGAGCATCATACACTGGGACCAAGTTATAAAAATCTGACCTTATTTGAGTTGGTTAAAAACTTACCACAAAAGTCTCAGATTTTTCATGATAAGTGAGCTTTGAGTTCCCCCAAATTACAGCATATGGGTGATTTTTCTTACAAACCTAAACTTTTCTCTGTCTTCTTCTTCCTGGGTAGCAAATATCTTCCACTGGAAGTGGGCAATGATGTTACTGCGGTTGTGAATAGTTATAATTCGCTGACTGGACAGAGATATGTAGGTTTTCTCAAGGATCAAGGAATTTCTGTCCAGCCTTATATTCATGTCTATGGCAGCTCCATACAGAGATAAAAAGACTTTTTCACCTAGAAATTAACAAAGTACAAAGACACTTTGAGATTTATTCTAGAATGACTACTAGGTCACTTTTTCCCCAAGGTGAAGTTATAGGACAAGCATTAGACATTTCATTCTCTGCTCCCCCCACCCCGCAATCAATCCAGAGATCAGACATGATCAGAAAACTTAAGTATTATGTTTGGTGAAGTTATGGAGAGTCAAACTATCTTATTTGGTCACTGTAAAAACCATATAAATTGTTATAGTGGGTGTTACATTTTCTTCTTTGTAATTTTTTAGAAGATTTTATTTATATATTCGAGAGAGAGAGAGCGCACAGAAGGAGCAGGGGGAAAGGGACGGCAGACTCTGCACTGTGTGTAGAGCCCAGCGCTGGGCTCCATCTCATGACCTGAGCCAAAACCAAGAGTCAGATACTTAACTGACTGAAACACCCATGTGCCCCTTTTTGATAATATTTTTAAATCCTATAGCCTGACCACAAGGGTACCTGTGTTCTAGAACATAACCATTTGTCTCTTCTTTATCCCAAGCATGAGCTGGCATTCTGATTCTTAAAGTAACTGTACCTATACCAAGTATATCTAGGAAGAGCTGCTCAGCATGCAAAGATCAAAGTCCAATCCAAAGGAGATCAGGAAGAAAGAATTAGGGGCGCCTGGGTGGCTGAGTGCGTTAAGCCTCTGCCTTTGGCTCGGGTCATGATTCCAGGGTCCTGGGATCAAGCCCCACATCTGGCTTCCTGCTTGGTGGGAAGCCTGCTTCTCCCTCTCCCACTCCCCCTGCTTGTGTTCCCTCTCTCACTGTGTCTCTGTCAAATAAATAAAATCTTAAAAAAAAAAGAATTAATAACTTCATTAGTTAAAAAAAAACAAAAAACAAAAAACACATAACTATTTAAAAGGAATCACTTCCTTAAACAGTCATTAAAACAAAAATGAAACATACACATACTATATCTAGGTAGCAGTTGCACAGAAAGAAAACAAAATATTAAGACCAAGGCTATGTGTAAATTTTAAAAATCTTAATGTTAAGAACACCTTTATTCAGCATAGTAATTTAAGTTCCCAATTTCATTCAAGATGCACCAATTCCCTTGATTCTAGGTAAAACATGAGGCCCCTTGGACTTCCAAGAAGATACAAACATACAAACTATGTTCTACCTGATCTCTACAATGTCACGAGGGTGCCTCACTCTGACATCAGAGTAGAAAAAGGAAATACTTAAACACCAGGAAGGTCCTGCTCTAAGTTTAATCAGAACCCAAAAAGCATAAGCACTTGTACCTTATTTTTTTAGCAAACATTTCTGCTCCATTCACCATTGTATTAACCAAGCAGGTACTTAGTAAATTAATAACGTTTTATACAGTGCAAACATCCTTTATGCTCTATCACTTTAAACACAGAAAAGTTTTGAACACAGAAGAAAGTATCCAGACATTTGACTCTAAAATTTTAAATTTTTTTTTTAAATTTTCAGCATAACAGTATTCCTTGTTTTTGCACCACACCCAGTGCTCCATGCAATCCGTGCCCTCCCTAATACCCAACACCTGGTTTCCCCAACCTCCCATCCCCCACTGCTTCAAACCCCGCAGATTGTTTTTCAGAGTCCATAGTCTCTCATGGTTCACCTCCCCTTCCAATTTCCCCCAACTCCCTTCTCCTCTCTAACAAACTTTTATTTAAAAATATATTTTTTTAAATACACATTCAAATACCATAAAAGCATACACTGTGAAAATGTAATGTCTTCTCCCCTTCACTCACTTAGGCCAGCCTTTCAAAGGTAAGAGCTGTTAATATTTTCATGTACTCCCTTGCCAAATCAAGGTATATACTCTTGACAACATTTAAACTTTTTGATGAACTAAGCTTAATAATATGATAAGGGAGAAATCATTGTTTTAATTGTTTAATTTGCATAGTCTTAAATATGGATGATGTTGAACATTTTCTCATAGATTAAAGAACTTTAAAACACCTTTTTCTGTGAGATGCCTTTTATAGCCTTGTTCATTTTCCTTTTGAGAAGTTTACCTTTTGCATATTGATTTGTGAGACTTTTTTGATATTAAAAAATTAGCTCTTTGTTACTCATGTTGCAATTTTTTCCTCCATTAGATATTTGAATTTCTGTATGACTTTTTTTTCAAGTTAAGTCTCTTTTCTCTTAGTCTTTTTGTAGTCTAATTCTTTTCTTTATGGCTTTTAAAAATGAGTTTATGTTTTAAACATTTTAAATTACATTTTGAAACTCAACTTCCACCTTCCCTTTAAAAGCAGCACCTTTCTTAAAGAAACTAAGGAGACCATAAATAGGTCTGGCTTGATGTACTATTTAACATGAGAAATAGCTAATTTTCTTTTTCTAGCAAAGATAAGGTAGGTTAAGTTAATGGGATTTTCTGCTAAAATAACTTAAAAATCTGGACAAAATATGAACAAACATCTTCTTAAAGTCACTCCAGAACCACTGTCACATTAAAGAACTACCGGGCCAAAATTAAACAAAAAAAGGACCAAAGAGATCATTGAGCATGGAAGAAAGTTTTGACCCATGGATATGGTACTCTTGGCAATGTTGAGCTATTCCTGTGCAGGCAGGAAGGATGGAAATCAAAACCCTAAGTCTAAAGAAAGGGAGACTGAAAACAAACAAAAAGACTTTATCCACAATAACTTATCCTCAAACGACTGTACCCTCAAGATGAGTTTGAATTAGAAGCAGACTAGCCCTAATTCAGAGTTAAATACTATGCTGAAATTGTCTGTGATTGAAGAGAATTTCAGTCCTTGGATTTGATGATCATGGACTGGTTTCACTCTCAGAAACCTAGCAGAAGTAACACACTTCACTTTGGAGGAAAGAAATTTCAATTTTTAACATTTTTTAAAATACACATTCAAACATAACCAGACATGCAAAGAAACAAAGCTCCATTTGTTTGAACTGGCAAATGTAAGAAAGACAAAACAAGATTAACAAATTATTATATACTAGAATCATCACAGACTGTAAACCAACTGTGTCTAAAGAAACAAAGGATGACCTTGGAGCTATATCCAAGGAGTGGGAAATCAAACAAAGATCTAGGAAACTTGAACAAAAGCCACACTAGGTCTTATAGAAATAAAATAAAATCACCTAAATTTTTAAATCTCTAAGAATAAGATTAATAAAAGAATTTTAATAATTTTATGAAAAAAATAGTGAACTGGACCATGGTTCAGAAAATACAAAAGGCAATATGAAGAAATAAAAATACATGAAAAATGCACAATGAATGAGTAAAATAGTAGGCAAATGGAGTGAGAAGGTAGTAAGTGTTTAATTGGAAACTCAGAAGGAGAGGAAAGATATAATGAATCAAAGACAATATTTCAAGAGATGAGGGTTAAGAGTTTTCTGTGGTTGACTGAAGGCATCAGTTTACAATTCAAAAAGCCCAAATGAATGTCAAGTGGAGAAACTTAAATACATGAATATATTGTAGTGAAACTAAAGAAAATCAAAGACAAAGGGCAAGTCCTAAAGGCAGTTAGAGGAAAAGGCATATTATCTTCAAAGGACCCATGATTAGAATTACAGCTAACTTTTCAAATGAAACAATGGAAACTAAAAGAAAAATGGAATGGCTTCTTCACTGTAATGAAGAGGGAAACAATGCCAACCAGAATTTATAGTTTTTCAGACTTTGTTTGTCGACAAACATTTTTGTTTTATCTTCATTTTTAGGAATATTTTCAATAGGTAAAGAATTGTAAACTAGCACTGTTTTTCTTGCAGCACTTGAATAATATCACATTACTGTCTTTTGGTCTCCATAATTTCAGCTGAAAACTTTGCAGTCAGCATTATTAGTGTGCCATTTAAGGAATGTATCTTTTTTCTTCTGACTCCTTTTATGACATTCTTTTTGCTTTAGTTTCTGGCAGTATTCGAACTAACAAGGGTTTGCTGAGCTTTATGAACTGTGAATTATTGTCATTATCCTTTGGGAACTGGTAGAATTAAAACATAGTATAAAGCCTCAGTAATTAAGACAGCTTTAAAATAAAGACTGATGGAATAGAATAAAAAGTCAAAACAGGCCCAAATATATGCTAGAATTTATTATAAAGGCAGCATCTCAAATCATTGGTATAAGAATAAAGTTTAAACAAAAAAAAAGCACTATTTGTATAACCTAGTAGCCATATGGGAAAACATACCTCACATCTAGCAACAGAATAAATGTCAAATGAATAAAATATTTAAGTGTTTAATATGAAACCATAAAAGTAGAACAATACACAGGAAAACTTTTTTGTAACTTTTGAGGAGAAAGTTTTCTAACCATGTCTCAAAATCCAGATTCCTCTAAAAAATATTAAGAAATGTTATTATGTAAAAAGGAAAAAATAAATTTTGGGGGCCTGGGTGCCTCAGTTGGTTAAGTGTCTGACTCATGATCTCAGCTCAGGTCTTGGTCTCAGGGTTGTGAGTTCAGGTCCCACACTGGGCTCCATATTGGGTGTAGAACCTACATGAAGAAGAAGAGAAAGAAGAAGACGATGAAGATGAAGAAGATGAAGATGAAGAAGAAGAAGAAGAAGAGAAAAAAGAAATTTTGAATGCTACTAAAACAAGTAAAAACAAAAGAAAAAGTGGTCAAAATATTTACAATTCATATCTAAAACAAATAAATTAAATCCCCAAATATGTAAATAAGTCTTAGAAATCAATATGACAATCCAGTACAAGAATGGAAAAGAGTTGTAAGGAAAGAAATATACAGGCCCCCTATATGTGTTAAAAGATGCTCAACTTCTCTCATAATAAAAGCGACACAACTAAAGATGTATCTATACACCATTCCCCCAAACACACTGGGTACAATAAAAGTTTGAGAACATAATCTGTTGCCATGGGAATGCAAAGTGGTGCATTCTTCCTCCCTCATGGAATGAGTTGGGGGACACAGATTAAAATATCTATCAAGCTTGCAAAATAA